GCTTGTCCCAGTTGGTATTCAAGGAGGCTTGAACTCAAGGCCTGGGCACTGTCCCTGAGCACTTCTGCTCAAGGCCAGCACTGAACCACTTTGAGTTACAGTACCACTTGCAGTGTTTGGCTGGTTAGAGATAAGAGTCTTGAGCCATGCTTCCAGCCTGGCTCTTTGCAGGTTAGTTGGGACATGGAGTCTTAGGGATTTTTCGGCCTGAGCTGGCTTTGAACTGCAATCTTTGCCACAATCATTGGGCCTTTGAGTAATGTGGTTTAATTTGTCATAATTAACAGGGAGATAGGCTGCCTTTTGAAGGCCAGCCACTAAGCAAGTTATCATCCTATTTCTGCTTTCCCGCCCAGGAGCATCATGTTGGTAATTCCAATTGGGCTCTTCTCTAGGCACAGCTGTTGCTCCCACTGGAAAGTTAATATCTAAGTGGTGGACATCATCGGCATGTGCCTGGGCTGCAGTCCACACCCTTTCCTTTTCCTCAGCAGTAAGGGTAGCGGATAGTATTAGATATATGTCCTGCCAAGTAAGGTCATAGGTCTGAGCCAGGTTCTTAAACTGCTTGACATAATTACTAGAATCTTGGGCATAAGATCCCAGCGGCTTCTCAATCTGAGTAATATCAGACATTGAGAATGGCTCATGCACCCTAATTACACCTCCAGCCCCTGCCACCTCTCTCAAAGGGCACATGGGGTCTGGTGGAGGTTGTGTGCCACCAGTGTGAGACCGGGTATGAGCTGCAGGGGGGGAAGGGAGAGAGGGTGAAGGGGAGGAGAGTGAAGATGGGGAAGGCACCAGATGCTCGGCAGAAAGAGGGGCAGAGTCAAAAAGAGGGTCAGGCACATCAGGCTCCGGAGGGGGCCCTGCACTATCAGAGTTGGGTTCTCCACGTGCCAGGAGGAGTAGAAAGGCCGGGCATGATTGGCATAGGGCAGGGTTGTCCCAAAGAGCAAAGAATGGCTGAATATGAATGACCTCAGACCATTTACCATTACAATGGCAAAAATCATCAAAATCTCTGAGAATGACATAGTCAAAAGTCCCCTCTTTGGGCCATCGAGAACGATTATCCAGTTGGTACTGTGGCCAAACTTGAGTGCAATAATAAATCAGGCATTCCTTGTTGATGCAGTCAATGGACAAGACATCCAGGGAACGCAGGAGGCATTCCAATGGAGTTTCCTCCTTTGGGCGTGACTTACAACAACAACCCATTAGAAATGCAAGAAAGAAAAATGTAGGAGGGGAAATTCAGTGAGTGAATGAGGGCTTACCAAATGGAAGCAGCGTAAAAACGTAAGAGGAAAATTTAGTGAGTGAAGGAGGGCTTACCAAATGGAAGCGGTGTCCCGACTTACCCCTGAGCCCTCTAGAGAGAAGTGGCCGAGCAACCAGAGTCAAGTGTCCTCTGCTACAGAGGTGACCAGCCTTTCATTTAAAGGCGTAGTAGGTTCTCTGGCATGGTACCATATCTGGAAAGAGACTGAACAACAGAGAACCCTTAGAGAGTAGTTCACTCACCAAAATGTAGAGTAGTTCACTCACCAAAATGTAAAAGTGTGGAGGAAGATGCAGAGGCCAGGAATGGAATTGATGCACTATGTCAGCAGCAGACAGATGGGTTCGCAAAAGGCTGTCAGAACTGTGGGTATTCCTCAGGGCAAAAAGGGAAAAACAAACAAAAAAAAAAGAGGAAAAAAAATAGAGAGGAATCCCAGCTATCCTGACCCTTTATCTGAGTCACGGCACCATTTATGTTAGGTTTTTAAAAAGAGGTAGCCGAGTAAGAACAGCACCACGTACGTACGTGGTATTCAGGTAAGGGATAGGTTTATTTAGTAGACCTACTGGGACCAGGCAAGATTAGCACTCCACGTGGCTGGCAAATGAGCTACATGTTGCTTTCAACTGAGAGTCTCAGATGTCAGCCTTCTTGAGGCACTAGGATTATGAGTCCTAGAATGTGTTCTTGGAGATAATACTCTCACATACATAGATACTTCCCTGGCTGGCTTCTGAGATCCTCAAGATTTCAGCCTCCTGAATAGAATTCCAGCTATGAGACACTGTAACAGGGAGTGAGAATTACATACTCTTTTTGTTTTAGATTGTGTTTGTGTGTGAGTGTGTGTGTGTGTGTGTGTGTGTGTGTGTGTGTGTGTCCACCTGCACCTGGTTGGGCACAAAGTGAATATTTCTTGTAGAAGTGCAAAGGAACTGTGATCTGCATGTCAAAGGCACATTGGATCAAATCTCAACCACTATAGCTTTTCTTTTCTTTTTTTTTAACATATTTTTATTGTGAAAATACTGTACAGAAGGGTTACAATTACGTGGGTAAGATAATGAGCACATTTCTTATCAAGCATTGTAGCCTCCTGCTTTGTTTCCACTTCCCCTTCCTTGGTATCCTCCCCTGCCCCTGGTCCCCCTCCCCCACCAAAGTTGTAAAGTTCGTTTTTCGACATAACGACCTGTACATCTCATTGTTGCAATGGGTCCTCCTGTAGCCCTGTTTTAACAATTTGTTTTTTCCCTTCCCATCAACATATACCAACATCATATATAGTGAAAGCAGGGGTTATACCATGGGGGAGGGACTTACAAAGCAACAAAGACATAATCTTATGAATATGATATAAACAATTGCATGAAAGATCTCTCTCTCTCCTCTCTCTCACTTTTTTGTCAGTGGTGGGGCTTGAGCTCTAGGCCTGGGAACTGTCCATGAACAATTCAGCTGAAGGCTCATGTTCTATCACTTGAGCCATCGGGACACTTCTAGTTTTCTGGTGCTTTTCTTTTTTTTAATTGTGATTAAGTGATCACATAATTTCCCAGATTTCACAGTATTGTGGAATAATGGTGCTCATTTAAAGTCACAAGCTCATTCTAACTTTCCTGGAGCAAATTGTCTATCACAGTCTATAACATATAACGGTGTTCACATGTTATACACCATACATGTGATCAGCAGCATGGGGATATTTAGTAGTGGTTCGATCAGATGAGTGGGAGTCCTTTGTTTCTTAAGTCCTGTTAATTTTGTCGTATCACCTAACATTTTGGATTTAACATCCACTTATCAGGGAAATCATGACCATTTGTCTCTTTGCTCTTGGCTTACCTCGCTCAACACAATTTCTTCTAGCTCCATCCATTTCCCTGCAAATGTCATTATTTTGTCATTTCTATTGGTTGCATAATATTCCATTGTGTATAGATACCACAATTTTTGGATCCATTCAACTGTGGTGGGGCATCTGTGTCGTTTCCATATCCTAGCTATTGTGACCAGTGCTGCAATAAACATGGAGGTGCATGTGTCCTTGTATATTGGTTCCTGTTGTTCAGGGTAGATGCCTAGAAGTGGTATGACTGGGTAGTAAAGGAGGTCAATCTTTAACTTTCTGAGGACCCTCCAGACTGCTTTCCAAAGTGGTTGTATAAGTGTACATTCCCACCAGCAGTGTAATAGGGTTCCTCTTTCTCCACATCCC